TATAATATATATACTAACTATATGTTCATTTTTTAGGACACCGTTCGGAGGAGATAGAGCAAGACCTTATCAGTCTGCGACAGGACGTTAACGCTGTGTCGGTTGAGCTGAAATTGAACCTTCGAGTGGAGGACGATTATTTACACGAAATGTAAGTTCCGTACCACCTTGGTGGTAGCTGTGTGCATGTCTGTGCTATTGTAGTACAACGATATATATATATATATATATATTTACATAAGGGTAGTATATACATATATATATATAAGGTAATATATACACAGTATACACTCGCGTTCTGACCCGTTGACCAGATCAGTGGTAGCTGGGTCCATGCCTGTGCCATTCCAATACACCAGTATGTCCGTATTCATACAGGGGTAGTATGAATCCAGTGGACCATTGTATTATATACGAACATGCATACACTTACGTAATGGTAGTACAACGACCTTATTACATTCCCGGGCTTACCTGTGCTATTTGTGGTGGCGCTGATCTACCAGGGTATTGGGTTTGTGTGTTGCAAGGAGTTCGAACTACCTTCGAGGGCATGTGGGTATGTATGGGGGAGTGGATTTACGAACAAACCCGAACAACCCTCTAAATATCTATTAAACAGCACCCACGACAACCGGCCCTCTTTTGGAAGTTGAGGTTCAGGAGTGACTTATAATAGGAGTTAATAACAGCTTGAAGGAACCATATATTGGCTAGAACGGTGTATTGAGATAACCAAGGACAACAGGCTCACGTTACGGGGTTGGAGGTGCAGGAGTGGCATATAGGAGTTAAATGCACTCGTACTATACAACAAGCGTAGCGTGGAAATAGCAGCGAATGGCAAACCTTTACAACCCTATGACATCGGGTCTATCGGGTATCATTGCTACAAGAAACTCTTAAAACCCTTTAACTCCTAATATATCGGATCATTTGCTGTATAGGGTGGTCGTCATCATACAGAGTGAGTGCGCAATCTGCATTGCATTGCGGTTGATAGAACAATGCACTGGTACCACACACATATGTGTATATATATATATATATATATATATATGCCAAATTCACCAACCGTTCTATTTTTACTCAACAATCTATTTATAACGACCAATCAGATGCCGATACGGTGGGAATGAAATGCACTCGATAGCTGCGGTGATGGGCGGCTTAGGCAGTCAGGTATGTTCCTTGTTGCTATGACATCAGTACAATACTTCGGTAAAGTTAGAGATGGCTTGTGTTGTATGCCTAAGTTGGCATCAGTGCATAGTACGACAAGTAGAGACTATCCGTTCCGTTCGCTTCGGTTCGGTACTCAACGTGACCTACTCGAGCCATACACGAGCATTGCACTTATTAAACCCTAAACCCTAAAACTCAATACCGGATAAGTTCTTCGCCATAGTACACTCCTTTGGACGGGATTGTATTGGATTTGATTTCGAATTATTTGAGGTGCGCTTTGTACAGGAACTGACACGCGCACCACCACCACACACATCACACCACACCACACCACAGGAAGCGATCAAGCTCATCACAGGCCAGTTTGTGCCCATAGAGAACACCCTGATATACAATGGCCTAGACAATAAGTGCACTGTACTCAACTGCTGACCCAGCGAGCCGCTCGGTGATACTTGAGCCGTGCTTGAACGGCAGGATTCTGGTTAACTAATTGGGGTTGGTGGCGCCTTGCTACGCTTGCAGGAGCGAATGAGTGACATTTGGCCCGTACTTTACTTAGACTGTACAGTTTATTTAGTTGATGGTGGTTGTAGACGCTTACCCTTGGCTGGCAGAACAACCCGCCAGGCTACTCCGCGTACTCGACGCCAAATATAGCATGGATCAACTCAGTCTAAATATAGATCTGTGTCGAGACTTATCGATTTTGCCACAGATTTTGACTGCGCCAACCCGTCGCCTGCAGATTACACGTCATCCAATAAACACCCGAGCACACACCAATTTCAATCGGAAGAACCCGAACCCGAACACCCGCGTACAATTCCTTCGTTCCGCCCTCCCCAATTACTGCCCCATTTTCTCCCGCAAATCCCCTTTTCTGCCTCATTTTCTTGCACGAATCGCACAATCTGCCCCATTTTTATTTTCCGCAAATCCCACTTCGCTATCGCAGGATAAGCCCTGCGAAGGCCTTGATGCCCTGCACATATTGTCCACTCTCACGTTTGTTCGTGCCTTGCCTGTATCTGTATCTGGTATACATCCAGTGGCGACGAGCCTTGGCTGTCGCATACATTGGCTGATAGCATTCCTGTATTGTGACATAAATTCCATATATATATATACATATATACATACAAATATATATATATATATATATATATATATATATATATATATATATATATATATATATATATATATATATATATATATATATATATATATATATATATATATATATATATATA